TGCGTGCGTGCGTGCGTGCGTGCGTGCGTGCGTGCGTGCGTACGTGTGTGCGTGCGTACGTGTGTGCGTGCGTGCGTATGTATCTGTGTGTCTGTGTGACATAGAGAAAAAGATGCGATACACACTCGCCCGCTCACATACACGTTGGAATCACTAAGCGATTTTCTGCAATACTAGAGGCTACACTATGCTAACCAATCGTACGCAATCGTAATACTTTACCTGCCTTCCATCGGCAGACAATGATAATGGCACAGTGACTAGATATAGAGGATACTCTACTCTCATTTAACCTCTCAGTGAAATCGAATAAACTCAATCACTTACTCAATGACACGCCGCGACACAACTCGTCACACATTCACCGACCCCCGCTTCTCCCACGTAGCATCGAAACACAAATCCAATACTCCATATATACTTACAGTTGTTCCGGGGTTGTTTGCAACCCGTGCGGTTCCCGCGGTGCCCGCTTGCTGCGCGAGCGTGTGCGTGTGGGTATATCCTAAGGGGTCCTCGAGCTGCCGTTTATCTCGTCTCCATTGACGTCGTTGAACGATCCCCCCTTTCTTTCAGAGTTAAGCGTTGAGAACTGATCAAGTAACAACACTTTCGCCCCGAACGCGAAAATTCTCCGCAGGACTACGACACTACGACGTCGTACGCGCAGACGAACTTGCTCTCGGCATGCCACCGCTCACAACTGCTGTCACGGCTTCCCGCGTTCATTTACCGAGAGAGCGAGCGAGAGAGCGCGCACGCGGGAAGCTAGGATGTCGGGCGGGCGGGCCAGCCAGCGCGTAGAAAGCTGTCGGTGCGAAGGCAGCGAGCAGACGTCGTCTGCGCTCGCTGGGCGCGGGAAAACAGAGGCTCGATGCTATATTTAGCTCGATCTCGATCTCGAAGACGTAATATCGCAGCGTCTTTAGTGGGTTCGTACGGGTGAGATAGATGCGCCTGAGGTGGGTTCGTTGCTCCTAGTAGCACGTACGTCTGCATCCACACCTCACTGAACGACGACTGATTCGCCGCCGCTTTGTTCTAGTCTTCTTATTCATCCACAGGTCTTCTGCCCTTTGCGGTTATCGTCCTCCGTTCTCCCCTCGTCTTCATTCATATTTCTCTTGCTCTTCCCACCTTTTTTCTATCCCGCTTGTTCCTCATACACCACCATCTCCTCCTACTCTTCTTCCGCCGCCTCGTCCTCCTCCTCCGTCTTCTCTTCCTAATTTTTCTCTTCTTTCTCCTTCCTTTTCTTCTTCCTTATCCTCTTCCTTCGCCATCTTTTCCTCCTATTCTTTCTCATCTTCATTTTCTACTCATCATTACCATTCCACCAAGTATTCCATAGTATTATTGTAATATAGTCTGCAGATTCTGTCTTCTTCTAATCACCAGTAGGTCACGCGCCCTTGTTTTTATCAGCCATTTTAGTCCAAGTAAGATAGACGCGACGATTCTGATCACTACTCTCTAATCACACAAAAAACAAAGATACTATATAAATCTAAGACCATTGTCCAGTCGGGCATTTATTATTTATTACTTAGTGAGTTTAGTTATTTATGAATTTCTTGAAGGATTTCTCATCATTGATGGTAGTGTAGCGGTTTACTCTCTAACCGCTTCGCTTAATTTCGCTTTCGCTTTCTCTCTCTGCAGGGGTTTATGATGTGTCACCGCCGCGTTAAACCCGACTACAAATTAGATCGATAGCTATCTCCTCCGATTGCTCTTGTTTATTATTTAGTCTAGTAACAATGAAGTAGTATAGCGTAGCGCCGGGAAGCTAATGTATAAAAGTCGGCACTAATAATAATAACATATGCAGGAAGAGTTCTCTTCTATAACGACTTTTATTTTCTCCTCTTTGTCTTCTTTCTTCCCGCCCTCGCGTTGATCCTCTTATTTCTCTCTTCTGCGTCTGCTTGTCTCTCCTCATTTTGGTTCACTCCTCAAGTTTTCTTTTTCATTATATTATATAGCTACTTTGGTGCTTCGCTTTTAATATGCTTACCATTTACCTCGACTCTGACTGGCTCTTCGTTTTTCTTCTCGATGCCTCTTCGCCATACGATTTGCATTCGATTTAGAGTTATATATGCTAATCTACTCTCTGTGCTTCTGAAATATCAACCACTTAGATTCAATGGCCGCCTGGCCGGCGGCGTCACTAGGGTTGGTGTCACACGGTGCGGTAACTCATGGTGTCACCCCGATGGACCTCCTCCCGTACAAAACCATACAGAATCCTTAGTAATGTTTTTGTCCTACTCGTAAATTGTAATTCCCGTATAGCACTTAATGTAATGGCAATAGTAGTAAGATAAACAACTAGCAAAATTAAAATCACTCACCGCACCCCTCCGCACCCTCGTTGTGACGTCACTGCGCCAGACGGCGTTGCTATGGTGTGCGACAGACGCTGCAGCAAGGCTGCTGGCGTTTTAGTTAATTCTAAACAGAGATTAGCGGCCGTAAATTGAAAATCAGTCAGCCGCTACTACGTAGATACATCGAAAGCATTCCGCTTCATTTAGCATCATGCTCAGCATCCTCAGCATCCTCATCTTTCGTTCACCGTCATTCCTGCGGTGCAAGATAGAAGCTAGTAGGCCTACATGGACCGAGGCAGTAACTACACCGCTACGTAGCAAGGAAGTTTGAGTCACGATTAACAGTAAACAATAATTCAATATTACTCAACAGCAGCAACAACAACAACAACAACAACAACAACAACAACAACAACAACATGTCAGCGACTACGAACTATGTCTGTTGTGTCATGCGTCCATTCGTATCGCGACTATCGCGCAGACGTGAGAGTGCATGCAGGTATTACGGTGGGAAATCAGCCAATCAGCGCTGGGACATGTCAAGAATGAGACCGTATTTCAGTGTATGCGTGCGCTTGAATTTGTTATTTCCCATTAGAAAGGCTTATAACTTTTAGCAATTGACGCTCTCGGCTCGTCCGGGGTGAGTTGCTGGGGCGGCCGGGGAATTTTCGAAGTAATATAATATTAATAATAATAATAATAATAATAATAATAATAATAATAATAATAATAATAATAATAATAATAATAACAACATATATGGTGTCACTTGCGACGTGGAGTTAGAGGATTGCATTGTGATTGCTCAAAAAAACTTTTGCTGATTTATGGGAATTTTTTCGTAAGTATGGCCGCCATTGGGAAATGATTTTCCAGTGTGGTACCTACAGCACGGGATCGCATGATTCTCGTCTGTTAAACGCTATTTCTGGTTGCAGCAGATCCGATTTAACAGTTGCACAATCGAGTGGATCGAAGGGAAAAACACAACAACAGCTGCTGTCGCTCCCCCAGCTACGCGTTTTTCTTACTCACGCCTGAACAGTGACTAAGGAAACTCTGTTCAAACGAAACTATGTTCAACGTCGACAGCTCGATCGGACTAGAAGATGTAGAACCGTAGAAGTAAACGTAAACGTTATACACATATACGTACGAATGACCTCTTCTCACAGAGAACGCATTTTTCCCGTTTTGCCTTAGAAAACGCAAACGATGAAACGCTTGCGGCATTGTTAATGTATAGCCGCGTACAGGAAGACGTGATGCGTACAAGATACGTCGCTTGAACGCATAGCGATGGACGCGGGACTTTGTGAATGCGCCACGGAAGACCGCGGAAAGTCTATAGCCTTCGTAATTATGAAAACATTTACAGACTTCCAATAAACGATTTACCGCCCGTATAAATACGTGTGATATAAACATATAAATACGAACGAACGCGCACTCTCTGATAACGTTTTTGTTTCGATATACCACTAAGAAATGTGCTACAGCTATATCAAGAGCGTATAAAGAAGAAAATACCATATTTTCACCGCTTATTATCTCAGCGTAGGGACATCGTAGGGACATGCGGTTTGTTTTATATTAACAAGGTAGGACAGCTGATCAATAATACTGCAAAGACTCGTCAAAATAAAATGGGAAAAATTGATTAATTCGACTAATACTGCAACATGGTTTCAGCATTTCACCGTTGTACGCTCTCCTTCTTTATACGCTCTTGGCTATATCTATGCGCTCTATCACAAAGGAGAAGGGGGAAGGCGGGAGGTGGAAGGAAGAGAAGGAATGGGGAGCCGGTGGGAGGCGTAGAACAACATCAGGTAAAGTACACTGAGGGAAGAAAAAGAAACAAAGAGGAAGGCGAGAGGTGGAGTGAAGAGGTCTACCAGACTGGTTAGTCTGGTGCAGGCAATCGATCAACGAGTAATCGATCACAATTCGAATTCGATTGGATTTGCGACGCTGCACCGCTGCGTGACACTGACCGCACGCCCCACCCCCGCGGTAGACTGCTGATGCTCTTACTTGTTGATCAGTGAGGGAGTGGGCGGGCTTAGTGATTCTGTATCACGGGGGGAGGAGGGGGGCGACCACCCACGCTATCTCTCCTGCTGCCCACACCTGACAGGCCCCGCGCGCTCCATGTTGATTCAACGCTCTGAAGCCAGCCAGCGACGGGAGCATCCATCTCCGCAGCATCAGTACCAAATCGCCACATCTGGTCTGTATAGCTATGCAGCTCTCTCTCTCTCTCTCCGCGCCGTGCGTTCGTACGCCGGTGCGTGCGTGCGTGCGTGCGTGCGTGCGTGCGACGGCGCGTGCGCAGGTATGTGTCTGTGCGTGGATGTGCGCGCGTGCGTGCGTGCGTGCGTGCGTGTGCGTGTGCGTGCGTGCGTGCGTACGTGTGCGTGCGTGAGCGTCGGCGATAAGCCGCAGGTCAGCAGTCACGCAGGGATAGCTGAAGAGTCTGTTTCCGCCGTAGCGGCACAGCTCTATTCGCGTTCCGGCGATTCACGGAGACATTGGTCAATAAACAGTCCTGTATCGACTTACATGCGGGCGGGCGCCGGCCCCGCGTCCGCGACAGATGTGCACAGACTACGTGCGCAAGAAACTATGTGTGTAGGAGTGGTTCGACCCCCAGTTATAGTTACATGTGTGTGGGGGCGGGCAAACGATAGTGTTTATATTAAACCATGTTATTGATCTTGTTTACCTATATATATATATTTATATATAATATATGTATGTAGTAGTAAAGTCACACACGAACACCCATGTAGATAAAAACAAAGTCAAAGTATAGAATAACTATAGCAATAATAACTATAAAGTATAGAATTAAAAGCATATTTTATTCTAT